CATTTCACCCCAAGAATCCACGATATTCTGATCACTGATGTTTTATCATGCTCTATTGTTTTGCAGTCATACTGCTTGAAAGTAAAGGAGATGGATGATGAAGAGTATGCTTATGCGGTAAGTTTTGCACTTGTCTCCTGTTCCTTTTGTTGTTTTAGAATCAGTCGTCAATGGCTGATATTTGTCAGTCAATGCTTTAGAAAGATTGATTCGTTGTTATCTTTCCTACCATATGGTATGTGCTTTCATAGTTGTCTGTGATTGACACTAAATACTTCTGCAATCACTATTTTCTACAGGCATTGCATGAATCGCTTTACAGAGTAGAGACTGGAAACTATGATTACAGGTGTGTACATGTCTTGCTATTCAAACTCCCTCTTGAAATGTGTCCTTGTGAAACTGTGGTTTTTAGCTTGCATGGTTCATTGGTTAATGGTTTAAGCATTTCTAAGTGCACGTCTGAGGAATGTAATTTTTTTTCATGGGTGTGATATAGGGTGGTATTGCGGTGTCGTCAGTTAGCCAGGGAGAGATTTGCAAAACTACGATCAGATGTTCTAGTGAAACTTGAACTTCTTGACCAAAAACATGGTGAGTCTTCATACATTAGAATTTCTCTGTATGCACTATGTAACTTTTGCATTACTCTAGGGAAAGATTGGGGTCTTTTTTTCAACACAAAGGAACTTAGATCAGAATTTGGAATTCTCTATAATTAATATTACCTTCATAAGACTAGAAGTTCCAAAAAACTCTCCAACAAATAATTGGCCAAAACATCACAAAGTGGCAATGCAATAATGCCAGCTTGCACAAAAATCCTCAAAAATTTGCTCTCCATATAAAATTCTGTCTCTGGTCCACATCATTATTTAATGTGTCTCTTCATATGAACAAAGAAATTAAACCAATCCTGAATTCTGCATTATAGTCACCAAGGCCATTATCTCTCCCACATTAACTATCCAAGATGACACACTGCCAATTTAGTCAGACATAATTCCCTTTTTTCACATTTTTTGCTCTTTTGTCATCTCCACAGTACAAGACATTGTTTTTCAACTACAGCGGTTTGTTGCAGCAGTTACAGAATATCATGAGAACTGTTATTCAGTGTTGAAGGATGCCAACGTTTTCCCTATTGAGGTTGATTTAACAAGAGGAGCACTGGGAAACCCACTCAAGTAAATTTCAACTTTATTCCATCAGACAAAATGATGATAGTGAGGATAAAAAAAGCGCACTTACACAGGGAACAGTAGGGCAACTGATATCTCTTTGTCATCTCTATATCCTTAACGAGCTACATATTACAGTATTTTGAGTCTTTTTCTTTTTGTGTGTCTGCAAAGCTACCTTCACCTTTATGGGACTAGTACAGAATAATACGTATTGTCAACTAGGCAAAGCTAATTCAAGAAGGAATGAAGATGGTTAATGATGGGGAATATCATTAAAGATCCCAAATGGTAGTTAAGAGGTATGCTAAATATTTCAGGATGCAGAAAACTATGAGTCAGGTCCCTCAACCGTTATCATAATGATTACAACCAGCTTTTAAAAAAGTATGAGTTACTCAATTGCCTTATTCAGACTGATTTTTTTGTGGAAGGTACTGTATATGATAATCTTGTTAGTTGCATGCACTTATTAAGTCAGTGAACATACCAACAAATCATTTTTTTCCTTTGGAGAGATAAGGTTTTAACCTGTCAAATTCTAGTTCAGTATATTTGGACAAAGAAGAAATGAGAAGATTATTTGAAAAACACTTATTACGAGAAGTTTTTCTCTACAAGATGTACAATAGTCATGTAGAATCTTAGTTTGTTTATGATGAGGAAATTCAGGTGCATACCAAATGGTATTGTCACTTTTTTGACTGAGTTTGCTTGTCAGGGTGGAAGAGAAAAATATAAATACATGTAGCCTGCATATTTGCAGAGGGAAATGCCTATGGAATTATGTTTAATAAATTATAATTATGGATTGAAGAAGTCAGTGTACAGTTGTGTATTTACACCATCATGGTAAAGTTACAAATAAAGTTTGAGAAACAGGAAGTTGTTTAAGCTTTGTTTTCTGCATTTTGTCAAAGATTTATTCCCCAAGGTGTTGTTTACCGCAGGGTGGTTTTTAGCCTGCCTCATCATTATTGCTTGTTTGTTTCCTTGTATGCTTGATATAAAATGTAAATTTACAGACTTACTGAGGTAATATATTGACTCTGCCTATGACAAATGCAGGGTCCTTTTCAGGTATGAGGGGCCTACCTATGTTTCTCAGTGATACCAGTAATGTCATGCAATGCTAAAATGTTCATGCCAGGACGTGGGAGGAAAGGAAATCAAAGTGTGCCTGGCTCAACTGAAGACCACCTCCATAACTTGATGCTCTTATCAAGAGATCCTGATACAATAACTTGGTCTGATGGATGAGCATCACAGCTTAATACAGGCTGTGTGTGTCCTCTTAGCTTTCCCACCGTTTGACAAGAGTTTAGTTCCCAGATGTACAGGTGATTATCTTCTGATCCAGATATCACCCACTTGCCATTCACTGTGCTGAAACAGCTTATTACACAGTAGTCCTTGTTTAGATGTCCTGTTGATAGATGAATGTAGTATTAAATAATTTGGGAATGTGCAGGTGGTGTGTTCACTTGGGACAAAACATTTTCTCAGGTAAGGCTGAGAATAGTTTAAATGAGATTAAATGTACCTTAATTACAGCAGTGGCGAGATAGAGATAATTACTCAAGGAGTATAAATCAATCAAGTACTACAATAACCTGATAAACATTTAACAATGGGACATTATAGTGATGTGTGAGTAGGCTCTGGATGGGGGTATTGCGGGGGAAAAAAAGTATCAAAGAGGGAGATAAGTTGGAGGAACAGAACACTATGGGCCCTCTCTGACTGCCAAATTCTTTGAGATCACTGCTTAATGTACATGTTAACCCTTTTTAAAATACCCTAACATCAATATGGATATTCTCCATAATAATAATAATACTAATAGTCTTTATTCTCACAAGATAAAAGTACATAATTTATCTCAAGTTAAAATATTAAAAAGAGTCAAAAAAAATATGCAAAAGATTATCTAAGAATCATTAAAAATAACTAGACAAATGATAATCTAAATTATTTATTATATTTAAAAACTCGCCTATTTACCAACACATTCTAAACCTTTCTGAATTTATTCCAGGATAATGGACAGTTCTGTTTCTGAGGTTGTATTTTGTCTCTTTTTTTCTTTGGAATAATTTTGCTTAGCAGGCAATTGGGGTCAGCAGAGTGTGCCTTGAAGAGCTTCCTTCTCCATACATCTCCCTATGTGCTGACAAGGAGACAAGGAGGATTTGTTTAACAATCAAGAGCTAATCTTTAGTTGGTGATCATTTCCTTTATTCTCCTGACCTTACTGTGTGATTCAGGGGTGATATTGTAAGGAGAAATTAGATACTAGTCACTATTAGGGGGTCAAAGGGTTTAAAAAAAAATACTACGAAGAGCTGATCACAGCTTCAAAACTTAGAATGACCTTGATAGGTTTTGAGAATTCTTCCTTGTCCAATCTTGTAATCCCACAATGTTAAGATGCTATCAAGAGTTGATAACAACAGAAATTTGCCATTAGGTGACATTGTGGCATGAGATATGGGCAAATGTGACTGCTGGCTAGCTGAGATGGATTTCAAACAGCAGCCAGAAAATACATCCCATACACAGTATTTACCATCGTAGCTACAAGAGATGACAAGGGTCCCATCCCTGCTGAAGTGCACTGCTGTGACTGCTCCACTGTGGCCAATTAATGTTTTCAGACAGGTACCTGACGAAGAAACAACCCCAAAAAGAAAAATCAATGCAACTTGAATGATAAGTGGAAGTTGTACAGAAAAGTGGAGTATACCTTCTTTCTTTTCCCCCATCCCAAAGAGGCTCAAATTTTTTTTTCTGACACAGATTGCTTCAAAATTTACCCCACAACTGAACAAATGCAATAAGCTTTTTGAACCCAAGTGTTTGTAGCAGGGTTTATCACATGCTAACTCTTGAGGAAATCAGTATAAAACTGAAAAAAAAAAAAAAAAATTAGTCACAAGTAATTCCTTTGAGTAAGAACCTAGTTTTGCAGTTAAAACAGCACAGTTTCCCAAGTTTCTATATCCTACTACCCCCCTGTTAAAATCAACTCATCATGCTACCAGCTACAATGATAACATCTTACGAGTCCAATAGGAATTGGTCAAATATTGTTGTATTTAGTCAGTTGTGAGAAAAGGGTTAATACTACCACCCCCCCAACAGAATTGTATAAAGACCTCCCCCCCCATCCTACTTCTTGGGTTTTGTTTCAATTCTTTAGATCACATTCCACACTTGTTAGTTCGATGTGACTTCACCAGTATTATTTAGTGTTTGTTTTTTTGATAGGCCATATTATTTTGATAGAGGGCAATTGCCGTTTTTAAACCCCTACACCTTGGGGCCCCTTCCATCTCAAACCTACCCTAAGGCAGTGTGCAGAGATCATCATCATCATCTTTATTTCAATTAACAATTTATAAAAGCTACAACTAATTACGAAAAACTATGTAGAATGGAAGAGTTTGATATGCACTTGCCATACTTTACATATTGAACCTCACCAAACCCTTCACTTTCATAATTTCATATAAATCTCCACCTTCAGACACGTCCCAGATCTTGATGCTTTCATCAAATGAACCCGACACAACCAAAGTTGTTTTCGAGTTAAAACAGCAACAGAAGGCATAGTCTTGATGACCAAGAAGAACCTTAACACACGTCTTGCTGGCAAGATCCCAAATCCTCACACTGGTGTCGTCTGATGCCGAAACAAGAAACTGACTCGCAGAATTCCACGAAACTTCGGAAACCTCTAGCCTATGTCCTATCAAAGTCCCTTCCAATTTCCCAGCCAAGTTCCATATCTTTATCAGTTTGTCGGCCGAAGAGGAAGCTATAAATTGCCCGTTTGGACTAAACTTAACACAAGAAACTCCCTTGCGATGAGAATTAATTGTTTTTTGGTCTGCATTTTCAAATTTAAAGCTGTTTTGGGGCAATTCGCAACTGACATCCATCTTCCCGCTAAAGCGCCATATTGTAAATAATTTTAATCCCACCCGGGAGAGTAAAGTTTTCACCTCATGATCTTGAGGCTGATTGCGAAGCTTTGGTATAACAGCGGCCGTAATGACCAAACCTCGTTGGAGATATTTGACCCAACATACACCTCTTGAATCATCCCATTTAGCTAAAACGTGTTCTACTGGAAAAAATTTTTTTTGTGGTAAGCTTAGCAAGAAATCCCGTCGTCGAAATGGTGGGGCTCCCCCTTGTGTTTTAGAGACGGATTTTGTTGTACGGCAACGTATATAACCATCAACACACAGTTTACATTTTATGATGCACTAGAAAATTTAGATTTTTAGATCGAGCCAAAATAAAATATCTTATGTTCGAGCCCCTTTTTAACTTTGCTCAAATTTTTCTCGTTCTTTTTCGGTAAAATTTTGCAGATGCTCTCAAAGAATCGACTTCTGCAGTAACGACTCTTGTTGTAAGAAAAAAAAAAAGAGATTTTGATCATCAATTGCCAAAATCCAACCCAATCCCGAATACATGGTTCCACGGAGGAATCATTTTACACGAGTACGTGATTGCAATCCTTGAGGTCAACGGTTATTCTTTTAGCGTAAATATTCAAAATGGCGGCCAGGCGGTAAACGGACGAAAACCAACAGGATACGTATAATACAAGTATAAATTGCATCTCTTTAATTGTACTCACTAAGAAAAGTGTAATTTAAGGTAGTCCATCTTAGTCCATTTTAGGGTAGTCCATTTGAGGAGTCCATTGGGTAGTCCATGGCCTGGGGGTCAGTGTTGTGTCTACGACTATTTTCCAAGTAATCATGAGGGGGTTCTAGCTCCCTAAATTGATTAAAACGCTCAAAATGGAGTAAATAAAAGTAAATGTAACGTTGATAGTGGTGGTACAATACAATTTTTACCCTGTGGTCTTCTGAACAGACGCACGTCAACGTTGAATCTATTTGTTAAATACTGAGAACATCGCCAAGAAAGAGTTAAACAACCCCAGCGCTACGGAAAGAAAAGGGTAAAAAATTTGGTAAAGCCACCACGAAAAAAAGTCCTGAAACTTGTCGCAGTACTTTAAAGGAGATTTTTGCAAGCTCCAGAACTTATGAGAAACAGACTGCATTACATGACTTGGAATTTTAACGCCGGGATCATAAGAATTAAGAACGGTCTTCCTGAGAGCGGATCACAGTGTGCAACCTCAGTTTAATTTGATATAATCCTTACTCCTTAAGGAGGAAAACAAGAGATGTAGAAGAGAAATATATTAGTTCATTAAGAATTCAGCGTTAGTACTATGCGAATGAAGAATATAGGAATTTATAAACAAAGCCATGGAAGTATCTAGTTGTTTAAAGGGGCACAAATCTTTCTATTATCAGTTGGTCAGTCCTTCTTCTCTACTGTTCTCTATTCGTGTTACTTTTATTTATTAACACAACTGCAAAGAACCCTGCAGCTGTGTTTAATCATTACACTACTAGGTGTTTTTAACATATCTAGTGGATTTCCTTTTTATAAGGGTATTTCCTTTAATGAGACGCTGGCCTTTTTTACAAGCACTTCGCATAAAAAGTAGTTGCTCAGTGTTAGCGCACCTTTGCTTCTCCTAAAAAGGGCCACGAAGCTTCCGACGGAATACTAGACAAGTATGTTTTCGTAGAGTTACACTTGAGTTCAAAACTCGCACATGTTGCTGAACTCGTCCTCTGAGAATCGTAAGGTCCCTCCAGCAACATTAGTTGTTTACAGACAACTGTTTTTTACACTCAGTCTTGGTTGACCAGAATCATCATTTACCTTTTTGGACAAATACAGGTAAAGCGATGAAGGAGATTCTATGGGTCATTCATTCTAGTTTGAAAACTCTTACGGAAACATAGTTACTTTAAAAATTCCAAAACTTGAGCGATTTTGTTTTTTAAATGAATGAAATAACAAATTATCAGATTAAAAAAACCAACCATTCCCTGATATCCATATCCATTTACGAGAAATTCAGTATGTTAACATATTCTGTGGTCAATTAAAAGGGAAAGGCTTACTCTTCGAACTTTAATTGTTCTTGGATATAAGTATAGCTGCATGAACTTCTCTTTAGAAAACCGTGTATGTAAAATTACGATTCCATAATAACCAGCAGTGCATGGAGCAGCATTAATCAGTCTCCCTCGAGGGAGAGGGAGTATCTTAGACATAAGATATAATTAGATTTATCTATATTTCTACGTCCTTATAACTTGGTGAGAGTAACGGTGTGTTCAAGGAATTTTGAATTCGTTTTTGAATTACTGACTTCGTTCAAACGAAATTTTTGGCGTCACAAAGGCGTCCGTGTTTGAGCAACAGTAGAATTGCAAAAGGGGCCCGGGATTTGTTTTTGATGTTTCAAACAGCTGATGAGTTTTTTTTTTAAAAGAATTTATCTTTGCCCTATTTATTTGGGCATTTTCCAAAAACCATCTTGAATGTGTACAAGAGATTATAATCTCTTGTACACATTCAAGATGGTTTTTGGAAAATGCCCAAATAAATAGGGCAAAGATAAATTCTTTAAGAAAAAAAAACTCATCAGCAGTTTGAAACATCAAAAACAAATCCCGGGCCCCTTTTGCAATTCTACTGTAACTTTCGCTGCCAATGTCAGCACATGTAACTGGTGAAGTGCCTTCTATGAATTCCTCAAAATCAAAGCTAATCAAAGTAAAGGGACTTTTGTGTGAATATGATAGGGTAATTTACTTCTTCAACACAACTTTATCTGTTATGGAACTTTAGTCATTGTAGAGATACTTAACTTATCTCTAAATCTACTTTAGCACTTAACCCGCTGTGCCAATTATTTTAAGGGGAACATTCAGTAAGGATTGAAATTATATACGTCATCGTTACGGCCATTTAAGGAATCATGTTACATCACGTTGAATCACTTTAGGCAGATGTTACATTGTCATAATATCCTTAGCGAGTTATTTTCTGAGTGACTTAAGTTCTAACTAGACTGTGTATAGTTTCTTGTATACGAGTACAAAACTGCATATACTCCACATACCTATATCTCAAAATGACCCCTAATAGTAAGATACGAAGCTATGTAAACGTCATACATCAAGCACGGGAAGAGAACTTCTGATTGGTGTCCCTTTATTCTAAATAAGGAACGTGTAGTGAATAGCAAGTCTTTTGGGAAATCTGGGCATGCGCAACTTTTGACGTTTCTGGGAAAACCTTTGAGGAAATTTGAACATTTGTGTTGATCGTAACTCTTTACATACAGTGTGTATTCTTTGCCCAGATGTTGATATTGAACTTAAAATGTCACATCCATGTGAAATCTGTGCCCAGTTGTTTATTGCGATGGTAAGATGTTAAGGGAGGTTTTAATGAAATGTAATGCTAGTTTTATGTAAGGGTCTGTTCCCAGCTATTGATAATGATCCGAGATTCATTTAATTACTTTCGCTTCCGAGTGATATTAGGGACCTTAATCAGTCAGGACGGCAACGCCAAGGAAGATGTCGATTAAAAAATGAATTACTACTTTTAATTAGAATTTCGAAAATGGCTGCATGTGTTTACCGTTTCATACGGCGCCACAACTCAACCTCAACATAACGTCTAAAAGTAGCGTTGAGTTACATATGGAAATTAAAATAATTTGCCGCTGCGGTTTCGGTTCGCAGAGGACGCAGATTTTGCTGATTTCTAGTTATCGTCTTGCAAAGGACGGCGGAGAAATGTACTAACTTTTAAAATGCACGTGCTGAGCTATTGTTCTGCTAATAGATCTTTTGTTTTTCCACGTTCTCGTTGCCGTCGCCGTCGTGGTTTGCTTAAGGGCCCTAATAGAGATTTCACCACGTCTACGATAAATCGTAATGAAAAACCTTGCATTTTAACATTGCTGCAAAACGAGAACTGCAAAACAAGAGATTGAAGCAGCAAAAAAATATTGATGTACGAGTCGCAAGGTGAGAGCATCGAGGATGATAAAGAAGAAACCAGAAATTATTAAACAACTATCGAGTGACTTGCTTACAAACGGAATAAGAAGAATTTTTCAAACTTAGGAACGAAATGGTGAAAACTTAATGCCATCGGGTACAGATTCATTCCTACCTCTTTCATAATAGGTGAATCCATTGGCTGGTATTAGGGCCACCGGGTTAAGACGCCATGTTTGGTCATTCATTTCACAAGAGTTATCCCCATTATGATTGTATGACCAACATTTCCCGTCTCTTACGCATCGTAATCCACATTGGAACTCGTGAGCGATAAAAGTTTTAAAGACATGTCCCACAAGCCTAAAGTCTGGATCAATAAGAAACACAGAAAATATCGATGAATGAAACGGCAAAGCACGAATGAAATAGCACACCCTTACATAGACCTCCTCCTGTAAAGAAAGACATTTACAAGTAGCACGATCATTGGACAAAGACCGCCTGATCTCGCTACTCGATCTTCCACCAACTGAGCTTTAGAACACTAGATTCGTGAGCTAAGCAGCACCGACCTCTCTTTTATGACGGTTGGCCTTTGTTAAGTTCGCACCATGAATAAAGTGAGTTTTCGCCTAACACGTTCACAACTCGTCGAGAAAAAAAAAATTTGTGTTGGAAGGTATCATTCTCGCATTACCTTCCACTCTCTCGAAAACTTCTTCCTTTTTCAGGTCAGTTTGCTGAGATGAACTGACTGTCACCAGTACTACAGCAACACCACTCAACAGACAAGGACAGAACAGGAAACCAACAAGATTCCCTTTCATCCTGTAAGTTGTGAAAAAAAAAAAAAAAAGAAAAACGTTGACAGATGTCGCCCTTTTTCCTTTTTTAATGCGACAAATAGTTTATAAATTTAAGGTTTTGTTCACAATCTTTTGTCTAAACTTGGCGAAAGAATACAAGGGAGTTTTAAACTATCGAGTCATGAAAGGGGATCTTCCGCTGCTTGTGGCTAAAACTTGTCCACTGGCTCGCACAAGGTACTCACTCGATATTAAGTAAATATAGCGAGCTCCTCACTCACACTTACCTTCACTTTCCGACTTTTTCTCCACTTTTCTTCTGTTTAAGGTCCTTTTTATATACTTCTTATTCAAATGTATTATCGGAGCGGAAATATCCAAGATTTATATCCTTTTTAGACAAAGGTAGGAAATAATCTTCTTTTGAAGTGTAAATTAGGCAATTTTCGCCAAATCGAAAAACCTGCCTACTCCTTGAAACGACTCAGTTTCTTTCCACTCTTCCCGTATTTATTGCAAAATTGTTTAATCACCTCTTCATAATTTATGAATGAACTTGAAAAAACACTGAAAATAACTGAATAGCAACAGCTTGAGAACTCCTTCATTTAACATGCCTTCTATTAAAATAAAGTGTTGACTCCCGTTGGTTTATTGTTAATGGTCAAGCAAACCGTAGGGGGATGGTTACTCAGGCACAGAGGGAAACTTCAACTACTTTCTGGACATATAAATAAACACTCAAAGTTCTATTAGTCTATTAAAATAGAGCTGCGGGAAGTGTTTTCTTCACAGAAGGGTAAACTGAAAGCATTTCTTCCCACCCAGTAACTCATACATATACGAGTCACAATTTGCAGGTAGATCTGCTCTACTGTACATGCATTTATATGTTTCTTTTTCTGATCTGTGTAAGTAATATCAAATTGAAGGATGACAGGATAAGAAATATAAATTTGTTTTGATGCTCTAAATATTTTTTTATCTTTTTTTCCTCTAGCTACCCTGCTAATAGGGTTTCTTTCGATACAAACACCTGTCACGTTCGATATAATAAAGACTGAACGACGACCCCCGGCAGAACAATGAGTACTCTTTCCATTCAGCACAGAGGGGAAACAAAACGCACTGTGTCCCGTAGTGCGAGTCACTGAGTGTTTTCTTGTATCTCTAACTTAAAAATAGAATGACTGAAAAAAAAACTATTTTCCAAACGCGTGCAGGCAACACCAATTTCTCCGCGGATTTGAGCTAGTTGCACGACCTTACCACGTACGAGTGGAAAGTTATTTTAATACGTTTCCATAGGGGCTTAGTGAATTTTGTTTGTCCTTTCAAAAACTAAGTGTCAAGAAAATTTTCTTGGCTCGAGTCTTAATTAACATATCGAACTCAGCGGAACTTAAATCCATGCTCGTCCCAGTCCCAAGGTATACTCCGCGGTATCCGTGCAACAGATGAACGATCTAGCGAACGAACGAAAAATGACTGTGACACTACTTAACTTATTTTATATTTTCGTTCAATTTTATTGACTAAGTCTTTTTTTTTTAAAATTCACCCTGCACCCAAGATGTATTCGTTGCATCTCACTCGTTATTGTACACGAGCTGTTGCTATTCTTTCACTTGCCTAAACTTTCCCAGACTAATTGTCCGTTAAGTCGGCTTTTCGTTTCTCTACAAATGCTGTCATCCCTTCCGTTCGATCGTCCTGCGAAATAAAAGAAAAAAGAGAAATGAAGCTTCGCTATTGGCGGGAACATGGGAAAGTTTTTCATGTTTTTAACTAAACTTTCCTCGGTTGCGCAGAAGACGTGAAGCATTCAGTGGATGGTTCGAAATCAGAAAGAGCAGGTTATACATATACATATGCAGGAAATGATTAACCACTTTAAATTGGTAATGTCGTGTTGGTTTATGCGTAAAAACAGATCATTTAACTTACTGTTGAAAATACTGAGTTAAATATTCTTTTCTCAAAATGTAATCCCGACCCTCTGCCAGTGACATTTCGTAACCTAGTAAATCCATGAGGATTAACAGGATTTGAGACGCATAAACAAGACAAAATGTCATTTGGGAGATTCAACAGTCTACGGAACTTTGATAGGAATGCCAAAGACAGTAAATTGTTTTTGCTTTCAGTCCTGGTAAATTGCTGAACATTTGCACTCAGGCAGGTCAGAATGATTTATATCTTAAAGCAACAAAACCCTATGTGAGTTCAAGTTCCTTTTTGGCTTAACTTTGGCAAAAGGCCGCTACCTCATTGCTCAGTTTGTCTCAGAGAAAATGATGGCTCAAAGAAATTCATTTGATTCGAGTTTTGAACTTTTTCGGTCACCGAAAAAACAAAAACAAAAAATACCAAAAAACAAGAGACTCATTATAGGATATTTAAACAGGAAAGATAACTGTTTCGAGGTTGGCAAATACTTCAAAAGAATAAGTAAACCAACAACTGAAAATGACACAAAAGTTTTTGAATCAATCGATAACTCTTTAACTCCCTACATCTGATTCTCCCCTCTAGCTGCTACACATTTCCTTGTTAACCAGTTACGAGAATTTGGTTACGCCAAGATATCAACTTCATAC